AGGGTCTTGTATGTTGGTGAGTGGAGTGAGGACTTGAACGGAGTTAATTTGCACAGGCTTTATAGAAGAAGCCAGTTTCACCTGGAGATCTGTAGGAGAGTTAGGGAGGAATTTAGCAGAGAAGATTTGGAAAAAGATTCCACTTTACCACTAGAAATAAAATATGCTCTCACTGAAATTGACAAATTAAGAGGAAGATACATCTAGAAGTTTTGTTTTGGTTAGAAGTGGGAGGTCTTTCTTGGGGATTAATGAAAAATTTTGGAGGAGGTTAGATGTATTTGTTGGAACTCAGATATGGCCTGCTAATGAATGGAAAGTTACTATATATTTCTCATCAGGAGAAATCACATGATGATTCAAAAGCCATCATGTAAGATGGACTAGAGTGAATAGAAACTCTCTGATAGGCCATTTTGGAAATTATTTTATTAAGAATTGATTTTCTTATAACTTTCAACTTGGCCTCTTTCCGAATTTCTACTTCATCTTAGAAATTCTTTCATTTGGAATTATTAATGAATTTGGATGGGATTAATTAATCATTTAGAAAGTAATCACATAAATTTATACTTGATGTCAGACATCATCTTTGTCTTCTACGTGCATACCTGGCAGTAAATTGCTAGCTTGTCAGGAAACACAGTAATGGTTTGCAAGTACAATGAAATCTTTGTGTTTATTTCTTTTTTTCACATTATTTTGTTTACTTTTAAAGAAATCAATGAATGTACTGTGAACCCTGATATCTGTGGAGCAGGACACTGCATTAACCTACCGGTGAGATATACCTGTATATGCTACGAGGGTTACAAGTTCAGTGAACAACAGAGGAAATGTGTTGGTAAGACACTTTTGATTGACAAAATTATATCACATATTTGCACATCTAGAACCTTTTTTTAAGCCAGTTTAACCATTTGGGGAAAATGTTACTGTGTTTAATTTTTTTTAAATGTGTATCTCTCAGTTGTGGAGCTCAAAACAAGATTTGCCAGACTCCTCGGATTCTCTTAGTGCTTTGTTCGGTGCTGCTGTCTCACTAAATGTAATGCATTTACATAAAGGTGAAATAATTTCCAAAAATTTTTCAGATAAAGTGAATGAGAATAGCTACCTACAAACATGTATTTGGCAAAAAAATAATATATGGTATAGTAAAGAATTATATTAATCTAAGTCTATAAAATTTGATTTCTAAAAGAGATGTCTAAATTAAAAATCCATATATGCTGGCATGAAGTTATCAGTGAATTTAGAAATTTAGGGATTGCATATATGCTTATTTGGAAAAAGTATCTCAGAAAGAGGTGTAAGAAAGTTAAATCATTTAAATGTAACTCTAAATTTAATTTTTCTCTTTTTAGAAAAAGAAAATTCAGCACTAAGTTGTA